GAAACCCCATCTGATTTCCCATTTCCCGGAGGCATAAGCTGAGGCAGAGGGCTGTTCCCGACATCTCAGGACAGGTCAGGGCCAGCTGGGATCCCAAATCTCTCCCCGTACAGCCCTGGCCACCAGAGCCTCTGTGCTGGTTTTTCTCTTTATGGGCATTCCGTAAATATTGGGATTTACCCAAAAGATGCCTGAGGATGATGACTTGCCTTGTGAAAGGATTCCTGGGAGCTGATTTAGATGCCAGAATCCCTTACAGATTTGAAAATAGTAAAATTACACAACTTTTTGGACATGGGATCTTGTGAAAATGTAGTTCTGAATCCTTCATTGTGTGCGTATGGGGGGGGGGGGCAGGATCCCTGAGAGTCTGCATTTCTCTGCACCCGCGCCCCCCGCCCAGGCGATGCCAGTGCCTCGGTCTGGGGGCCCTCTCCTAGTGTTGATGATGTGGAGACTAAGGCAGAGAGAGGACAGTCCTTGAGCTGGAGTGGGAAAAAGAGACCGTAGTCCCTCTTGGCTCTGGGCTCCTGGTAGCAGCCTGAGCTGGGCTGCCAGGGAGGAAGGTGGCAGGGAGCCCACAGAATGGAAAGTCACCCACAGGTCCCAAGAGCCACGGACTGACTCTGGGCCCCAAGGCTCTGGGGCAGTCCCAGGGTCCAGTCTCTGGGCCCAGCCTTGCCCCAGCCTGTGGCCATTGGCCCAGCTGCCAGGGCATTGCTCTCCTGCAGACTCCCAGAGCCAGCCATTTCTTCTCTTTTCTGGAAGCCCATGCCTCCTGTCTTGTTGCTCTCTCCTGGTGGCGGCTGGTGCTGGGCTCTCCTCTCAGCTGGCCTGATCTCTGGCCAGCTAACACTGGGTTCTTTTCTAAGGCAGAGGCCTCAGTGGGACTGAAGGGCCTCTGCTGCAGGCTCCTCCTACTTGGGCTCCTGGGGACTCCTAGTCTGTCCCTGGGTGTGGTGTGTCTCCCAGGGAAATCCTGTGTGTATGTCCCCTGCGGGGGCAGGGCTCACGGGAGGAGACAGGTGGACACAAAGCTGGGAGATCCCCTCAGGTACTTCTGTCCTCTGCCCCCTACCCATTCACTCCTGGACTTCCAAGCAAAATAACATGGCAGATTAAAACATAATTTAATAAGATCTTTAGGGGCACCTGGGTGGCTCAGTTGGTTAAGCGACTGCCTTCGGCTCAGGTCATGATCCCAGGGTCCTGGGATCGAGTCCCACATCGGGCTCCCGGCTCAGCAGGGAGCCTGCTTCTCCCTCTGACCCTCTCCTCTCTCATGCTGTTTCTCTCTCGCTCACTCTCTAATAAATAAATAAAATCTTAAAAAAAAAAAAAGATCTTTAGGACCCAAAGTAAAAGGGGAAAGGAAAATAACTATTTGGTGTGCCTCGCCCACATGCCCGGGTGTGTTTGGGCTTTGCACACATTCATCTTCCTGACAGCACTAGGAACACATGAGGAATCCTCCTCCTGTGGACAGGGAGGCAAGGACTCAGAGTGGCTGCTACACTTTCCCAAGATTATGGATTTAGGATCTGGCTGCAAAACTAGGGTTTCCGTGTCAGGTTGTCCCTTCTGGAACCTGGCTTCTTAGCATGGGAGAACCTGAAGACACTGAGGCTCATCCAAACCGATGGTTTTCAAAACTGAAGGTCCATAGGAACCCCCTGAAAACTTGGTAAAACCCAGATTGCTGGACATTGCAAACTGCACAACTAAAGGGAGAGAAGAGGCCACATCAAGGAAGGACTTACAGAAGCTATCCCAAGATGAATGGGGCAAAACCCTGGACACTGTGGAAGCCACCATTGTCCTGGAGAAGAACCTGAACCAGGCCCTTTTTGATTTGCATACCCTGGGTTCTGCCCGTGAAGACCCACATCTGACTTCCTGGATGGCGACTTCCTAGCTTTGACCTGAAGATGACCTCAGTTATGGAACTATTCAGTGGGCACAGACAGCAGAAATGTCAAGGAGAATTCCTATCTTTCTGGAAAGAGATCAAGGAAAAGTGGATCCTAGAAGCGTGTGTGTGTGTTGGCGGGGGGGGGCCTGTAAAGTCGAGAGATAGAGGTGAGAATTCTCTATTCTGTGATCCAGCACAAGTTCTAGGCTCACCCCTGCATGCACGTGTTACATGCACGTGTTACATGCATGTGTTACATGCACAATACAAACCCAGTTCACTGCAAAGGTTGTAGGAGCAGAATAATAATACAAAACATGATCCACTTGCTAAAATAAGCCCTGAGTGGCACGCACAGAATTTAGTCAAAGCAACATAGTAAAGGCTTTGAAAACCGAACTGATATTAGAAATCCCACCCACAGAAAGGGAGACAAAATGCATGGTCTAAATGTACCCAGGTTGTAGGCTGATTACCTCAAAATTTAAGATGGTTGGGGTGAGGAGGTAAAAATCAACATTACCTGGAGGACAAAGGAACACATGATGTGACATTCGAAATATTATAATAAAAAGTTACTCAACATTTAAAAAAAAAAAAAACAGATCGCTGGGCTCAGCCAAGAGTTTCTGATTCAGCGGGTCGGCGGGGGGGGGTGGTCTCAGACTTTGTATTTTTAATAGATTCCCAGGATGCTGATGCTGCTGGTCCAGGGACCACACTTTGAGAACCTGTGTTCTAATCTATTGTTTCTCAAAATGTACCTCTGGTAATACACAAGGTGGTTTTGAGTGATATACAGACTTAACTTTTTGTAAGTACTTCTATTATTTAGTATCTACTGGCAAAAGAAAACAAAAAGGAAAAAAGAACTAGCACACCAAATCCATGATTCCAGGTGTTTTTGATTAAGATGCATCTCCTAAAGTAAAAAAGAAGATGTAAAGAAAAGTGTTGCATAAATTAAAACGTTGATGGCGTGCAGCTAGGAGCAAAACTTGTAACCGTGGGATGCAGATGACAGAAGTCTGGGAGACGCTGTCCACACTGAAGGCCTGGCTTGGTAGAGGAAGAGACCGTGCACAGCCCACGGAGGCGAGCCCGTCCTCAGGCTTCGTGGCATCAGTGGCTGCGCCCAAACTTGAATTGTTTATCAGGACACCTGTGGTTCCCTGGCCTCTTAGCCCCTCCTGGTTCTTCTGAAGCTCTGGACAGACTGGGAAAGGTCATTGTGCCTCTGCTTCTATCCCTGTGGTCTTTGTCTCCACTCTCAGCCCTGCAAACAAGGGTCTGTGTGTATAACGTTGATGGTTTGCACATCTTTGCTTTCTTCTCTGAAACCAGAGGTTCCCAGAAGGCGGGGACTTGGTCTGCCTATTTGTCCTTTTATGGCTCCAGGCCCCAAAGCCCCCAGGAATCTGTTCTGTGCATGGAAGATGCAGGAGGGGCGCCTGGAACTTTCCTGGCTGCCACCTTTGGCTTTTCACCTCTCTGTAGTCTTCATTTCTAAATTTGCCGACCTGGCGGCCTCTGCTTTCCCCTGTGAGCTGTGATCCAGGGAACCCCCAGAGCAAAGGAGGAGGGCAGGGCTCAAGCATTTGCTGAGCACCTGCTGTGTACCAGGAGCTGTGCTAGTGCTGAGCTTCGGGAGCCAGACAGGAGCCCTGCCCTCCGAGTGCACGGTGCACGTAAACGGAAAATGACCGTGCAGGGTCATGCTTCAGAAGAGGAATTAACAGGGAGCAAGAGGGACGCAGGCTGGAGGGGCAAGTGTGGGGAGGGGTCTGGGAAGGCTGCAAGGAGGAAGTGTTATTGGAAAGGCTTTCTGAGGATGAATGCGGAAGGGCTGTTTAAGGCCATGGGAGGAGTCTGTGACAAGACTTGACATAGGTCATATGGTTGGTTATTCAAAAAGGACCTGAGGGGCGGGAGACGAGATGGGTGAGAGGCGAGGAGCAGACCCGCCAGCGCCACGATACCATTGTGAAGACCTAGACTGGATTCTGTGAGCCCTGGGGGTGCTGATAGAGGGGCTAGCCTTGAGGGGGGGTGGGGGTGGTAAAAGATGACGTTTGTGTGTCAGGCATACAGACCCCTCCAGGGTCCATGGAGCAGTGTTTCAAACTGCAGGCCACAACCCATCAGTGGTTTGCAAGACCTGTTTAGTGGGCTGCAGCCAGAATTTAAAAAAAAAAGAAGAATAGAGCAAGAAGTCAAATTGGAAATACCAGAGTGGCCTGCACTAAGTAGAGCTAAGTAGTGTGTCAAGAAACTTGCTTCCAGGGCGCCTGGGTGGCTCAGTCGGTTAAGCGACTGCCTTCGGCTCAGGTCATGATCCTGGAGACCCAGGATCGAGTCCCGCATCGGGCTCCCTGTTCAGCAGGGAGCCTGCTTCTCCCTCTGACCCTCCTCCCTCTCATGCTCTCTGTCTCTCATTCTCTCTCACAAATAAATAAATAAAATCTTTAAAAAAAAAAAAAAGGAAGAAACTTGCTTCCGTTTTATGTAAGGAAAGTGTGTGCATACTGCGTTACAATCTAAAATGTATTTTTTTTATTCTGGGTCACACTTTAAAAAGCTTGCAAATTATTTCGAGGCCCAGAGGGCTGGCAGGGGTTGGGGGAAGAGGTGTGACTGGCCCTTGTGGTTATCCAGGCCCCAGGTGATGCAGGCTGGTCCGGGGCCCTGGTGACAGGGACTGAGAGGTGAGGATAGACCCCAGCGTTGACCAGATGTGCTGGGGGAAGATGGAAAATTTGAGGCGGATTCAAGTCAGTCTGACACCAGCCAAGGCTTTTGGGCCAAATGACATCTTGTTTGAAATACTCAATCTTGGTCCCCTTCTGGTGGTGAGCTGGAAGCCAGGGTTCCTGGGGGGCTGTGGAGGAGAGGGATCCTTCCTGTTCTTTGGTCGACAGTGTCCTGGGCTTCTAGGATCCTGGTGTCACAGCTCTGACCTTTCAGTCCAGTTGAGTGTTTTCAAGTAAAACTCAAATGGGCAGGCTCCCTGCTTGAGTCTGCAGGTTTGATGATGATGTCTGTGGGAACTAAGCTGGGAATGACCCTGCTTCTGCTGTCTTCCCCCTAGGAACATCGTGAAAGGGATGAGAGAGCTTCGGGAGGTCCTACGTACAGTGGAGACCAAAGCAACTCAGAACTTCAAAGTGGTAACACAGCGATGCCTCGGGGCTGGGTGCTGGCTGTGGTTGGCTTATACAGGGGCCACTTTCAGTGGGAAACAACAGAAGTGCTAGCAGGCAGCCTCTGAATCAGGGATGACAGTATGTTGCATGCACGCTTCTCCTCTCCCTGTCTGTTCTCATGGCAGACATTGTTAATCGATCTCAGCATTCTCTCCCACCAAGCCTGGGAAGCACCCGCAGCATCCCTACCTCAGCACTGCACAGAGCCCCTAGCATTAGATCAGAGTTAAAACCCAATGTCATCCCTTCCTAGCAAGGTGGTAGGCTAACTCTTAGGGATTATTTATGATTTTAATAAATAACCTGGACTCCTTTTCCTGCCCCAATTCAGGCCTACCTTCTTAGGCTTTAATTCACCCCAAATCAGAGCCACAGCTGCTTCTCACTCTAGAATTTTTGATCAAGTATCAGGAAGGTATGTGGTCAAGAGCGCTGCCCAGGCCAGTGGCTTCACGCTCTGCAAGGGCCTGCTGAATACTCCGAGCTGTGCTGGGCTCCATGGGGCCAGAGGAGGAGGAAACGTACCTCCCGTCTAGGAGAGGACAGAGGACAGAAGATTAAGTAGAAGCCATCAAAGGCCAACAGAAGGGGTGGGGTGGCCTCAGTGCTGGAAACAGAGAGAACAGGGGGCTCCTTGGGAGTGGAGTGGAGTGGTGGGCCTCCGAAGGGGCAGTGCACTGCAGGGCTGGCAGATTTGGCCCGGTGGTGGGCGGGGGGCTTTCTGGGTCTGAGTTCCTCCCTTTCTGCCAGATGGCGGCCAAGCATCTGGCAGGGGTCCTACTACACTCCTTGAGTGAGGAGTGCTACTGGAGCCCCCTGTCCCACCCACTGCCTGAGTTCATGAGCAAGGAGGAGAACTCCTTCATCACGCAGGCCCTGCGGAAACCTCACCTCTACGAAGGAGACAAGTAAGCTCTGCTGGACCATGCCGGTCTCATGCCACGCTTGGGGCTCCGACGTCCCCTCCCTGTGCCCTGCACTTTCCTCCAGCTGCCACCCAGCTCACTGTCAGGCAGGCTTTTCAGTTATCCGCAGGAGCCGAATAGACCAGGGAAGACTGTCTCGGGATAGGGGCTGGGAGGAGCATTCTAGAAGGCATCCACAAGTCGAATTATTTGGAGGTTACCTGCCTTCCTGCTAGTCTGCATATACCTCCTCTCTTATTTGTTAAATAATTGATGACAGGATCTGAGCGGCTCTCCCCTGCTCCTTGTCCTGGCTGTGTCATGCAGCCCTGGGCCCTGGAAGGGACATCTCTTCCCCCAGAGCATCTGCAGTATTTCTGGCCCCGCCGCTCACCCCAGCCTTTCAGATCCAGAACTCTGCGGCTTGAGAAAGAGCTGCAGGTAGTATCGGTGTCTGTGAATTATGCAGGAGGGCGTCACCTTACCAGGGCCGCTGCTGACTCCGGGGCCGGAGGGCCGGGGTGGCGGGCCAGCCGCTCTGCTTGGAGGCTTGTGCTGGACCCAGTGCTGCCATCTGTGTCTTTCAGCCTCTACTGCCCGAAGGATAATATAGAGGAAGCCCTTCTGCTGCTGCTCATCAGTGAGTCCATGGTACGTTCCAGGCCTTTCCCTCTCTGCCCCGGTGGGGTAGGGCTGCGGGACCTCAGGCACAGGCCGCCAGGTCCCGGCCCAGCTCAGCCTCCCACGGATGTCCCTGAAGCAAGGTTCTTGCATCTGCCCCCCGCACGGGGGTGAGGCTCACTTCCTAGGTTTGGGTCTGGTGCACAAGGCTGTCTTCGGGGGCCTGAGTAGGGACTGAGTTAGGAGTCCCCAACACCTCTTCTGGGATTATAAAAGATGCTTATCAGTGAGTCAGCAGTGTGTATTGGGCAGCCCTGTGCTGGTTCTGGGACCGATGTGAGGGGGTGGAAGGGGCAGGTGCTTCCAGTTCTACCACTGTTAGCTGAGGGCCACCGGCAAATCTAAAACCTCCGAGTCTCAGTGAATTCACTCATTCACGCAACGGTTCGTTATTATCATCTTTGTGCCAGGCCTGTGCTAGAAGCCGGAAACACGGCAGCAAACAAATGGAGAAAAGTCTCTGCCCTCATGGAGCTTACATTCTAGTGAGGGAGGTGGACAATTAATTAATTAGCGACTACATTATCCAGGGTCCTAGTGTCTGAGTGCTATGGAAAAGTAAAGCAGAGGAGGGGTAAAGCATGCCGGACAAAGCCTGCATGAAGTGCTCTTTGGCTGTTTTCACAAGACCCGTTTCCCCCCGTGGCAGGCGGGGAGATGAGCCAGGCACGCACCAATGTATGTACATACCCACACGCATGCACGCATGGGCCCTGGAGGCTCAGTGAAGGAGAGGGGTGTGGTCCAGGGAGTGGTAAGAAGGATGGCCTGGACTGGTCTGGGGGAGGCGGGGAGGGGTGTGCAGGAGCCACAGAAGCCAGGGGTGGGGGTGTGCTACAGAGGAGTCCAAGGCTGGGTCTGAGCCCTCTAACTGAGGGGCCTCTCGGAGCTTGGGAGCTGGGAACCCCCCAGGTTGAGAACTAACTTTGCTAAACTGGCACATCTGAGAGCAGTGTGTGGAAGTAGGAGTTTAAGAAACAAGCCCCCATGAACAGATGGAAACGAATGCACCCTTGAATAGCTGGGGCCATGAGTGCTTTGGTCAGTGGGTTTCCTCCACATCAGTGGGTCCCAGCACGTAGGCAGGATGTGGGGCACTGGACTGGGGCGGCAAGAGATCATAGCCTTCCTCAGCTAGGCTGTGGTACTAAAAGGTTTACAGGGTCATGCAGGTGAGGGGGAAAGTGGTTGTTCCAAGGAGGGGCATCTAACTGGTTAGCCTAAGGTGAGGATAGAAATACCGAATGCCAGATTTGATTTTCACGGGAGAACAGTGCACTTTTCACAGAAAATGGGCCCCCACTCTGACCACAGACTGGGCCCCGGTTTCTAATAATGGAACCTCAGACATAGACCAGATCCCTCCCTGCCCCCCTCCCCCCACACCTGAGCCATCTCCCCACCCACACCCTCGGTTGCAACTGCACTTAAGTCACCTGTCTGGGGAAATTCCTCTCCCTGTGCTGAGGATTACAGGTGGGAGGTAAAAAGGTGAAAGCCGAAACATTCCTTAGGTCCTTTCTCTGCCAGATTCCAAGCTGATGATCTCAGAGAGGGAGGCATTTTATGTTGAGCCGTATGACAAATAACAATTTCATACACTTCAGTCTAATATATTCCCATCTTACAGATGAGAAAAGTAAGGTTCAGGACAGGTATCTGTCTTGGTCAACGTCATATACTAGTAATCCTCACAGCCATGATTCAAATCATGTCTGCCTCCCTACATAGCTTCCAAAGCATGGGCCATGGAGCACAAGCCCTGGACCGCAGTCCCGATTCTGCCACTTCCAAGCTGCTCTGGTTCTCAGTTTCCTCATCTATAAAAGGGCCAAGGGGGTGATTTTGAGACTCAAATGAAACGAGGTTCAGGGAGGGCTTTATCAACAGGGACATGCCTGTTGGCGTGAGATGGCAGGGGGGCTGAGGCTGGACTCTGTCTCTCCCAGCCATTTTCCGTGGCCTCTGCCCTATCTGGGTGCCCAGGATCAGAGTTCAGATGCCTTTCCATTAGGTTATCCCCCCTGCCCCCACCCCAAACCCTCAAGCTGCCCCCTATCTCAGAGTGGAGAATGGCCTTTTACTAAAAGGGGGCCCACATTTGGAGCCAAGAGTTTTCCTAAATATGTGATTTCCCTCCTAGCAGCTCCTGCCCTTTTGCAGGAGGCTGTGTGACTTGATGGCCTGTCCCAGAGACTCGGGGTGCGGGCCGGCTTGCCAGGCGGCGTCTTGGGGATTCCCTGAGCATGCAAAGCAGAGGAAGTTGTGCACTGGGCCGGGAGGAGGCACTCCTCCAGGGCCTGCTAGTTTGTTTCCTCTTGCTCACACCCAGCCTGTCACACGTTTAGAAACTTCAGGAATTGGGGGGAGAGCTTTGGAGTCTCCTCTACAGAGCTTTCCTCCTGGGATCTGGATCTGGCCTCAGTGGCCTGGAGCTGTTTCTCAGAGTGACCGGATAGCCTCTGGCTTCTCTCTTGCTCTCGTTTCATACCCTCCTTCCGTGCGGGTCCCATTCTCGGTCAGGTGAAGTCACCACCGTGCCCGCCTCCCAGGCTCTGATCCCTTCGCTGAACCCTGGGGCTCAGCCTGGCCCCCAGGTACTTGCAGGGTTTTCCTCATCTCCTTTTGGTGCTGCCTGGGTGTGGCCGCAGTTGATAGGCAGAAGCCTCTAGAACAGCAGCTGGCTGTCTTGGCTGCTACTTAGCTTTGCCTAATACCTGCAGAACCCATTATGCTGAGGTAAAAGCTACTCCAGCACAGTCAGCCCAGGAGACACAATCATCAAAACTCCCCACCTCCAGGATCGCCGGAGCACTTGTGCAGATTTCTTGAGCATGTCGGCCCCTATTTTGTGGTTTGGAACTCAGAGGAGTAGCCTGCAAGCTGTCCTGAGTGTGGGGCCGTTACCTTGGATATGGTTTTTGTAAAAGGCTAACCGAGCATGATCAGAATGAATAGAGAACCCCCCCCACATCCTCGTGTTTCAAGAGGTAAATAGAAATCTTACAAATGCCGTCACAGAAATGCAACGTGTGCGAGTGATAACTGGTTGAAGAAGATTTGTGTTTTGGACCTAGTTTTTAGTCTTTGGAGCCAAAAGGACATTTTAAAAGCCATCCATCCACCCACCCATTTGCTCATCCATCCTTCCATCCATCTGTCCGTCCATCCCATCTCGGTCAATCATTACTCCCGCCCCAGATGTACTCCCACCTACTGGAGATGTATCCAAGGACCTGGAGAAAATCCTGGTCCTCACATCAGAAGGAATCACCCCAGTCTCCTGAACCCCAAGTGTATATTCTAGTCTTTAAAGAACTCTGTATCAAAACTAGTCTGATTTTCTCAAACAGTTGGAGAACCAGGAAGTACAGAAGTCTTGATCCTTTCTAAAATACTCATCTAGGCATAAAAATATATGCGGAGGCAGACTGAATCCGTGGGTCCCTGTTTCATTCAGCTGGTGGAGAAGTTGCTGCTGGTATCAGGTGCTCAGGAACTGAAAGGCCCCAAAGGCCCAGTGTTGAGTGAGAGTGGGGTGGACGGGTAGCCTCTGGGGACTGGAGCCTGCAGGTGAACCGTGCCCTGTCCAGTGTCACACCAGCAGTTTGAGCCTTGAATTTGCCATTCTCAGTCTGCGGGGCCTGGGCAAGGTTCTTCCCTCCCTGATCCTTAGTTTTCTCATCTGTAAAATGAGGCTAATAAGGCCTTTCTTGCACAGCAAAAGCCAGAAAACAAACCACACAGGTGCCTGGTACGTTAGAGATGTTCAACACGGGTTTGTTTGTCCTGATAAATGCTTGCTTCCGATTCAGTCATTTTAGAGAATAATCAGGCTCAGATCAGGTTGGGAGAAAAATTGGTTTGAGGATACCATTCAGTTAAAAAAAAAAAAAAGTGCTTCTTGGGCTCGGTTCCATTTGGGACTCGGCAGATGAGCACAGATTGTTCTGGCTTTTGGCACCTCGTTTGCTCTGCTGCAGGCTGCCATGGTAGAGGGTCTGCTACTGCTGAAAGCTCAGAACAGGCGGCTCAGTAGAGGCGGGAGATCCTCTCGCCCTTGCTGGCAGGAAGAGCCAGAGAGTGTGATTCCTGCCACCGAAGCCTGACACGGCAGGAGAGTGGGGGCCGGCTTGGGCCTGGCCGGGGCTCTGGGTGGATGGGCCACGTCACTGAGCATGGTATTTCTTGGCTCTGTGGACTGGCAGCCTGAAAGCCGTGGTAATTCCGTCTGCTGGTGGGGCAGGACAGCAGGAGTGGAACAGGACGGCGCCCTCCAGAGAGGGGCAGGTGCCAGTCACAGACACTGCTGGCAGACTCCTTTCTGGGCTGATTTGGGGGGGTGCCAGCAGCAGGCCCTGAGACTGGGTGCTTGGCCAAGGTAGAGCAGCTGTGTCTGAGAACAGCGTGGAGCAGGGCCCTGGACACATTGCCCAAGGGGCTTTTTCCCTGATTGGGAAGGCGCAGCCTGGTGTTTTGCTTTGGTTCCCCTATAAGCAGAGCCATCCTGGGGCCTCTGATGGCATGGACAAGGCTACTGGACACTTCTTCAGAGGACTCTGGGGGTGAAGTCAGAATGTCCAGGTTCTAATCTGGGTCCCTCCTATCTGTATGCCTGGGGGAGCTTCCCTGGGCCTCAGTCTTCTCATCTGTGAGATAGGACAATAGTACATGAGGTCATTGTGAGCTGCCACTCACAAAGTAGTCCACAAGTTCTCCCTTTCCTTCTCTCACCCTGCTTGTGTGGAGGATTAGAAAGGAGAAACGGGGCTGGGTGGAAACGAAAGTCAGTGCAGTCTGAGGCCTTGCAGTCAGCAGACGGTCGGGACCAGGAGAGGCCCATGAGGCAGCAGAAGCCATCCTGGACTGGCCTTTGAAGGTGCAGCCTTACCTCCCGGGGACCTCGCACAATTAGTTCACTTTCTGGGACTCCGTTTCCCATCTGCAAATAGGGCATCCTGGTTCCCTCCTGCACCCCTGTGGGGTTATTGTGAGTCCGGATGAGATGTGATGGATGTGACCTTGAAAAGCTAATGTGTGGCACACATAAGGGATGGCTGTTGGATGGAGCGTTGCCTGCCTTGGCTTTCACATGGGCTGGCCAGCCTGGGGACATGGCAGTTCCCCGCCAGCCCTCCCGTAAGGCCCTAGGCTTGCTTCATGGATCCTTTCCTTCTCCCAAGACCAGATATGGGTCACACTGGCAGTGATGAGCTGTTGGAGGAGGGGGGTAGGGAGGTGCGTGCTTTTTTTTTTTTTTTTTTTGGCTTTTTCTCTTCTGGTTTGCAGAGGGCCTGGGGTGAGTGTCCTCAGTTTGGAGGAGGCTGCACTGGAGGGGACAGCCAGAGGACCCAGGTTTAGGAGCCATACAGCTCAGGAGCCCTGCCCAGGACAAAATGTGTGGTCCAAACAAGGGCAAGGCATCCCCAGAGGTGGGGGCCTGGAGATGGTGCCGGGAGGAATGAGGGGAGAAGATTCTTCATTACTCCCAGAGGAGTAAGGATGGTTGTGGTGAGAAGAATATTCAGTGTCTCCATACTGCTTTATAGGTCATAGGTACATTCATCTCTCTCTCTGCATTTGATCTGAAGGATTTCCTAGCAAGGCCATTTGAGTGGTGGAGGAAAAGAGTGGCTGGGACTAGTTCAAGGCAGGCTGCTGGTGAATTTGGGAGCATCGCTGGCCTGAGGGTGGTGAGCCCAGGGGAGGAGGGAACAGGACACCCGGGGCATGTGGGCAGCGACTCGAAGCTCCCAGAGTGTCTGAGGCCCCCGCCCTCCGTGCTGCACATGAATTCCTGCCGCGTCACTAGCCCCCACAGCTTCCTTCCTTCTGCCCCTTTTTCCCCCACCCAGCGAACACCACCACATCCTTTTACCGCAGCCCTCCCCAAGAGCCATAGCAACCAGGGCAAACTTCTGCTTTTGGTTTTCCTTTGTGGAACCTTGCTTCCCTCTTAAAACAGGCCAGTTCCTGAGGACCCCCCACCCCCCACCCCAGGAGACCTCTTCCCTGCTGTCTGCCTCCTGGGGAGGCCCAGCCCCCAGGCTGAGGACATGTTCAGTTCTGTTCCTGGTTTTCTGACTTAATCCCAGCCCAGTGCTGGAAATCCACCCCTAAGCACACAGTCAGAGACACTGTTGTCTTAAAGGTCAAGGTCGAGGGCAAGAGGAGAACATTTCCACACCAAGCCCAGAAATCTTGCTCAACATCACTCATTCTACAAACATGGACCAAGGAAGGTGCTGGAGACATGTCCCTGCCCCAAGAACCAGGGAACTCTTGGGTATACAGGGGCTGGGGTGTGTGCCCCATGCTAGGAGAGGAGAGGAGGGGGGCGGCCTTGCCTGGCAGGGTCGCTCAGGTTGACAGGTACCTGAGTTGAGCTGTGAGGAGCCAGGAGGCATCCAGGTTGACCGAGGGCATAGACAGTCCCTGGTGCTGAGAGGGAGCTGCGGGGAGTTCTGTGGAGCAGGGGGAGGACCGAGAGCTAGTTGGGGGAGACGCTGGCCAGGTGGGCCAGGCCTCGTGGCAGCCACAGAGAAGGAGCTTTGACTTTGTGCTGGAGCAGTCTGGAGGGGGATGGGAGTTGGGGTCTGCAGGGCTTACTCTTCAAGGACAGGCCAACCAGAGCTGAGGCCCGTGGTCCCAGCTCGCTGCTCACCATCCCCAGAACAAGACCGGTCTGCACGGATAGCTTCCCAGATCCTGCATGTGCCCAGCCAGGCTTCTCCCCGTACCCCACAGAAAAGCACCCCCACTGCCCCGCTGCAGGCTGCCCGCGCTGTCCCCTTTCCATCAGGACCCCTCTCTCCCACCAGGTTTCTAGGTCCCTTGCACTGAGCACAAGTACTGCAGCTGCTTCTGGGCTCCAGTGTCCCCTCCCTGAGGACAGGGACCGTACCTTGTGTCCTCTCATTGCCTCCACCCTTGTCCTGGCTGCCTGGCCAGGCCCTCTCAGGGCCCCACTCTCGCGGGCCAGAGCTGGGGAGTTCTGGAGGGGAGGGCTGGAAGTGGAGGAGTGGGGAGGTACGTGGCCAGTTTTGTGTTCCTACTCCGCTTTGTCAAAAAGCTCCTGCCAAGCCTCTCAGAATCTCTTCTCTCTTCCTGATGGTGCCTGTGTGGGTGGATTTCACTGGGAAGGAGTGGGATTTCTCTGGCACTTTCCCTCTCTACTTCTCTCCCCTTAACCCTTCAGAGTTCCCGACCAGCTCTTGTTTATCAGGCTGGCACCAGCGCTCATCCTTTCTGGGGATCCCCTGACATCCTGCACCTTCTCCTGGGGCTGGTCCATGGACATGGGGGTGGTGGCAGCCCTCGCCTGCCGTGGCAGGAGGGGTACCCATCAGGGCCCCTGGCCGCTGGCCTGCCTTCCGGAAGTGCCCCCATGGGTGAGTCACTTCCTTGGGTCTCAGAGGTATCTTGGCTTCCAGAAGCCTCTGGAACACACTTCAGCCCTGCACAACAGGACACATTCAGAGCCTGCAGTCTGAAGGCCATTGGGCTTCTTCTGCCTCTATGGCCCCCCACCCGTGGGGGCGTTGCCCTGACCTGGAGGAGGGGTTCATAATCCTGCCTGGAAGGAGGTTTTGAAGACCATCTGTGGACAGGAAGGATGATTTGGATCTGACAGTGAGAAATTGGCTTTAAGGGCCAGCAGCTCCTTTTTATCCCAGCATCCTTGGTTCTGAGGTCCTGTGTGGGGGAGTAGAAGAGGGTGAGTCCCAACACACAAAAGGGGGTTCAACCCCTACTACAGAGGGAGAGGGATACCGGGAGTAGCCAGCAGGAGCATCTGGCTGGAACCCAGCTTCGCTTCAGCTCAGATACAGCCCTCAGGGGTAGGTGAGCGGGTGTGTGTGTGTTCGTTCATAGAGCATTCCTAGCCTGGTCCCTGCCCTGTGGCTGCTCAGCTCAGGGACCCTATGATTCATGTTGAATTACTCCCAGGCCTGAGTGTTGTCTCCAGAGTATGGGTTGACAAGAGGGAGTGGGACCATAGGCCACAGAATAAGAGGGTCCCAAATCCCCAGTGGGGAGATTTCAGGCTTTGTGATACAGAGCTCCCTGCTTCGGATTGTACAGAATCTCCTACTACTAAAGCACATTTTCCCATTACCCCCCCCAACCCCCCCACTCCCCCTGACCAGCAGCTACCTGGCAGCTCTGAGCACTGAACTCCTGAGCTCTGGACACGGAGCACAGAGGCCATGTGTTAACGGGAGATGTTTCTTAGGGAACTCTGAGAGGAGAGTTCTGTGGTCAGAAGGAGTCAAGGATCAGGTCTGGTTTGAACACAGGGGTGATGGGAAGGACATATTGGGCCAGGAGGTCCTTATCAGAGGGATATCAAGGGGCCATAGCCCAACCTGCCCTCCTGTGAGTCCAGCAGCAGAACCACCCACATCATCTAGACACTTCCAGATATTACCTGAAGCTCTGTGAGGGGACAGTTACAAGCTCACAAGGAGCTGTTCCACAGAACCTCTCGCCTCTATCTTCAAAAAATGCCAGTGTCTGAAAGATGAGGTCCAGGCCCTTCTGGATGAGAGGAGACTGAAGAGACACGGCCCCGGAATTGTGGGCCTGGTCCTGGGTTGGGTTCTGGGACAAAAAGACTTCTAATAGGGCCATCGGTGGGCAGGCGGGAGATCTGACTGTGAGCTCGTAGTAGAGGCATCAGTTGTACGTTTCCTGAAATACTGGCATTCCTCGTGTGGTTGTACTTAGGGGTCAAGGGTCATCTTACCTTCATGACTCTATCCTTATAATCATATACTAGAGCGCAACAAAGCACGTGTGGTCAGTGCCATCAGCCTGGCAACTTTTCTGTAGGTTTGAGATTTTGCAGACTAAAACATTGACTACCAGGAGCCCTCGGAACTGGTCCCTCACCCCAACCTCGGCTACAGGTAGAGGTTTCCTCCCTTTCGTGGGGGCCTTCGTGAGGACGGTGGAAAGGCCCTGGCAGATTCTGGGAGCATAGCCTGGGTTAGCAGTGTAAGGATGATGGTCACTGGGTCTTGGAGGCAGGCAGCTGCTTATTTTCCATCCTTGCTCCTTCCCCAACCACGTCGCCCCGCAGGCTACTCGGGATGTGGTGCTGAGCCGGGCACCGGAGCAGGAGGAGGACCGGGCGGTGAGCCTGCGGAATGCTGCAGCCATCTATGACCTCCTGAGCATCACGCTGGGCAGGAGGGGCCAGTACGTCATGCTCTCTGAGGTACGGCGACACCCCCCTCCAGAAGTCAGATGGAACCACCATTTGACCTCCTCCACTGTCCATTCCCTGCCTCCGCCAAGGGGTGCAGCTTAGTCCTTGGGAGACGAGGCTTGGGACCGTTCCACCTCCAGGGCTGGGAGAGCTGCCCTTCCCTGGCGGGATGGGTAGTTTGGGTTTTGGTTTGGGTTGTTTTACTAGTGTTTTCATGTGTTTTTCTTTTGAAAGAACACAAGGCATTGTATAGAGAAGCACAAGGGGGAAATTATCCATCCCCCAGTTTCCCACGTGGATGATACTGGATGTGAGTGTCTCTGCTGGTAGAGCTCTGAACTTGGTGTGAGTCAGGGCCCTGGACCCCCTCCCACCCAAGCTGGACAGAGCAACCCCATTCTATTGAGCAAACCCTGGTGGGGCAGCGCTCCTGGGGTGGTGCCTCTTTGGGGTGAGGGCGGGGGGACCGGTGCACCAAGCTGCCCCTCTCCATTCCCCGCAAGGTGAATGGCATGCACACATTTCTGAGTTTTCACATCTGGGCTGGGATCAAAGGTGGCTCTGGGGCCCCATCTCTTCGTACAGGAGTGGGCCTCTTGGCGGTAGTTTCTCTTTCTGTGTGGTTAGGAGGGCCCCTGAGAGGAGAGCTGGTGACATCTGCTGAGCCCCTGCTTGCACCCAGCACCATGCAAGGTGCTTTTAGGTGATACCTTCTTGAAGCGATGCTCTCTCAAGTTTACCAGTGAGGAAGGCAAGGCCCAGAGAGGTTGTTTCTTGCCCTAGATGGTGGAGGGGTGCACCTGAGCCAGCACGCGAACCCAGGCCATTGAGCTCTTAAAGCCCATGCTGTCTGGTCCCAGAACCTCACGTCTGTCCGCTGCCCCTCCCGACCATGGCGAATCCTGGCCTCACATGCTGGCTTCTGCCTCCACCATGTGGAAGCACTTGGTAGCGTCTGCCGGACCTCACCAGACTGCCCCTGATTTGGGGCTGCGCAGGATCAGACAGGCCAGTGGGGCAGTCAGTTTTCTTAGTCGTCATAGAGAACAGCAGAACCGAGAAAAGCCTTTCCACTTGGGTAGCTTTGTAGTCGGCCCGCTCTGCCACTTACAGGCCCTGTGACTCTGGCAAGTCATTCAGACCTCAGCCTCCTCATCTGTGAAATGGGGATAATGGAAGAACCCACCTCCCAGGGTTGTTGGGGAGAGTGAATAGGTTAATACGTGTAAAAACCTGAGAGTGGTACCATGCACAACAATAATAAATACCAGTTATTATTTTTATGGGATGTTTACATGTTAAAAACTCAGAATCAATTTCATTCTCTTTTCCCCATTGCCCTGTGAGGCAGTCACATGTTAGGGAGGTAGGAACCAAGGGCCAGAGAGGGTAGGAGATTTGCAGAAGGTCACACAGCATAACCTGCCCCGTGGCAGGGGCAGGTTATGCCTGGAGTTTTCTGACAGGAACCAAGTATGGGCCTCCTGCAGCCTCCTATAAGAAGTGATTTGGGCAGTGATTGCCCTGGGGGGTATTGGATTCGCTGAGGGTGGGAGGACCCCTGGGGGGGAGCGTGCTGACTGACTCCCTCTCCTCAGTGCCTGGAGCGAGCCATGAAGTTTGCGTTTGAAGAATTTCACCTTTGGTACCAAGTGGCCCTCTCCATGGTGGCTTGTGGGAAGGTAAGACCCAGGGCGTGTGTTGGGTGGGGGAGGTTGCACACCTGCCTTTGGGGCCTCTGCTCTCCTCCGGTCCCTTCCAGGGCTAGGCAGAGGGCACGGCGGTGAGTCAGAAATGTTCTCCAGCATCGGATTTTTATCTCTGGGAGAGTGAGGGCCCGCGGAGGGTCACACACACACCCCTGTGTGAATCTGGTGTCCACCTGGGAGTTACAGGCGTGCAACTGTGGGTCTGTGGGTGCTTTTCTCCTCGTACATGTGCACACATGGGGCAACAGAGCATTTCCACGTGAGACTTGAAGAGTACAACTGCGTGCCACAGGCTTGGGACACGGGTTCTGAGCGAGGGGCGCGTTCATTTGGGCTGGAGCTCTCTTCCTGCCCATCAGGTGGGGTGTCAGGAAAGGACCTTGCCATGGGAGGACCTGCCTAGGAGGGGAGGGTTCAAGGTGGAGCAGAGCAGCAGCACCCACAAGGGAGTCTGGGGGGAGAACTGCGCCAGCGGTTGTGCCTGGGACGGAGGCTCTGCCCAGCGTGAGGGGACTGACCTTATCCCCGGTCACCGGGGCCACCTTTGCTTACCCCCAAGCCCTGTTCCAGCACCCCCTGGTTTCTCCTCTGATGAGAATTACACTTACATAAGCCTCTATTTTCAGCAGTAACATGAAAGGAAAACCTTTCCGGAGCTGGGTGCTGAGGGTGTTAGAGCCAAGGATGCTATGAATGCAGGAAAGAAGGTGGCAGGAGCTTGCAAATCGTTCCAAGAGCTGTAAACACCCAGAGCCCTTTTGTGGGGCTGAGGGAATTCCGGCCCCCCCCCGGCCCCCCGCCCATCTGTGCCACCTGCCATTTCTAGCCCTGCAGCTCCGCTCAGAAGAGGGCCCTCCTCGGCTTGCCTGCACCTCCCCCACGAAGGTTAGGCAGGGAAGAGGAAGACGAGCCAGTGCTGCAGCCTGATAGGTGGGAAGGAGCCAGGGGAGTATAGTGAGAATCAAGGGGGGAGCCTCCCACCCCCCAACCCCCACTGGGCCTTTGTCTTCCCAAAGCTCTTCCCCACCCTCATCACGCTGACCACCCACCAGAGCATCCTAAATGCACAGACATGGTCTACTCCGGCTCTGTGCTCAGCAGGGTCTTGCCAAGGCTCGGGGAGAGTTCAGGCCGCAGATAGATAGAGTGAGATCTGAGGGAGGGGAGGAGGTGGGTCTGGAGCTCACATGGAGCCTGGAAAGACAGCTCACAGTGGTATGTGACAGCTTCTTCCTGCCTCTGGGAAACAAAGAACCTCTGATCTTGCAATAGTGAGCATGGGCCCGGAGGAGAGGCCCAGGGCCAGGGTAGTGGTCCTAACCTTTCTGTGAGTCATAGACCCCTTTGAGATCCCAAGGAAAGCTGGGGAGCTCTCCTCAGAAGAATGTAGGATACTCAGAAGCTAGCTTTAGTCTCTGGCGGTGCGCCAGGAAACTCCCCAGTCGAGGGAGAAGGTGTTAGCCTGGGAGCTATGGGATCTTCAACCTCCCTACTGAGAAGAGCCAGGCTCAGAGAGGTCCACACACAGTCCAGCACATCCCAGGATCCAGGGAGTTGGTGTCCCAGCCTGGCTCCTTCACAGACCAGCCAGGTGGGTACAAGGCTGGGCTTACAGGTAGGGTGTTGGGGTGATCGGTGAGTTTCTCACACGTGAGGCTGCACAGGCTGGAGACAATGGGTTATATCCATGCCTGCATTTGGTGCAGCAGGAGATTGTTCTGGAAGCACACTGTCCACCCCCTCAGGCACCCTGCACACCAGCTCAGTCTGCCTGGTTGGCCCAGGAAGCCCCCCCCCCCACCCCGCAACCAGAGTGGCCAGACCTGGCCTTTGCCAAAGCCCAAGGCAGGAATCAAGGCCTGCACTTGTGCCGAAGGTGTGGCCGGGCAGATGTATGTACATTTGACAGTTCAGCCTGCAGGAAGAAAAGATGAGGTCCATGACATGATTTAGGTCGCTCCTTCTCTTGGTCTCCTCAGCAGTCACATTGGCTGCGTTGCTAGGTAACCAGCATGACAAAAAAAAAACCCCAAAAAAACAAAAAACCAACCAAGCTGCCTGCCCTTACTGTGGAGTCCTCCGATGGCTCCTGAAATAGCAATGCTTTATGGTCTGTGTGGGGTGAACATGGATGGTCAGGGTTGTAGAACCTTCATTTCACAGAGAACCTTCAACCTTGCAGAGGTCAGCAACCAGGGAAGGAGGCCAAGGGGAGCCCGAGGTTTGCTGTGGTGTGTGGAGGGGGGGCCATGGCTGGCGGGCTGGGAGTGGTATTCACAGGATCGCCTGGCAACTCCTTTGGGCCCCTCACGAGGTCCCCTTTCCCACAGCCCAGCCCGGTCTCCCAGCCTGCTGGAATAGTCAGTCATCTGCTGACACCCGCCTGTGCTGGGTCTCACACCCTCGCTTTCTGAGAGAGCAGTGGGGAACGGTAGCTTTTGTCTTCTCCCCCTGGCCTTTCTGCAGGCACCTAATAGGCAAGAGCCATGTGACCCCACAACCCCAGCCCAGCACTGGGCACAGAGCTAGCCCTTGGCTGATACCCCTGGAACTGGCCTAATATGCCTGAGCCCAGAGCCTCAGTCTGTCATGTCTGGGCTGAGAAGAGCTTTTCCTTAGCTGGTGGGGAAGGAGGGGTAGCTAGAGAAAGCCTGGGGGTCCAGGGTAGACGCAGATCACTGGGGTTCCGGCTCTCTCTCTTCCAGTCTCTCACACTGAGTTTGAACAGGTAAGCCTTCCAGAGCCCCCATTGCCTCAGTGGTACGTCTGGAGTTGCTGGGGAGGGTGAAAGCTGATTAATGGTGAGGAAGCCTGGCTCACAGTAGGGCTTAGTACATGGGAACTGTGGTCACACACATGCCCCTGCGTACCATTGACCCTAGCTTGGGGTCACACAAGTATGGAGTGTGCACACTTGGGGGGCAGGGGGTGTCACTGTTGAGTTCTTGGAAAAGTGTTGGATGCAGTCAGAAGCCCTGAGTGTGTGTCTCGTGTGTGTGTGTGTGTGTGTGTGTGTGTGTGTGTAGCAGGGAGACCGAGGCTGCTGTTTCTGCCCAGGTAGTCACTACTGGTGCAGCGGGAGATTGTTCTGGAAGCACCAAGTCACCGAGGCCAGGTAGAGCTGTGGTTACGAGCATAGGGCCAGACTGTTCAAACCTCAGTTCAGCCATGTATGGGCTCTGTGGCTTTGAACAAGCTACTTAACTTCTCTGCCTTTCAGTTTCCTCATCTATAAATAGAGACGTGGCTCACCTACCTCACAGGAGAGTTGTGAAAATTAAATCTAGGGCACCTGGGTGGCTCAGTTGGTTAAGCGACTGCCTTCGGCTCAGGTCATGATCCTGGAGTCCCGGGATCGAGTCCCGCATCGGGCTCCCTGCTCAGCAGGGAGTCTGCTTCCCCCTCTGACCCTCCTCCCTCTCATGCTCTCTGTCTCTCTCTCATTGTCTCTCTCGCAAATAAATAAAGTCTTAAAAAAAAATTTTTTTTAATCTATAAAGCACCTAGAACAGGGGACAGCAGACTTTCTGTACAGGGTCAGACAGTAGACATTTTTGACTTTGCAGGCCAACAGTCTCTGTGGGAACTCCCCACTCTGTCAGAAAAACAGCTGTAGGCAATACATACATGAACGGGCGTGGCTGGGTTCCAATAAAACTTTATTCACAGGAGCAGGCAGAGGGCCACATTTGGCCTGTGGGCTGTGTTTTGCTGAGCTCTGGTTTATAACAATGCGTGGCACATAGTAAGATCTAAGTAAGTGTTAGCTGGTGTTCTTTTTCTCATTATTGTGACTGGTAGTATTCCTGCCTGCCTGTGGATGGTCTCCCATCCTGGCCGTCCCTCCACACGTGGCCATCCTCAGGAGGTCCATTCCGGCCCCGTCTCTGTGACTGAGTCGCTGGAGCCTTGAGGGGCTCCAGATTCCTGTCTGGAGGTTCTCTCTGCCTCTGCCAGCTTAGCTTCTCTCCTGCTCCTCTGCCAGCCGTTATGCCCCCCACCCCCTCAACTCCCCACCACAGCCCTGCCTCCAAGTCCTGTGGAGCTTCGGCCTCATCTTGTCACCTAGAAACCAAGGCTGTTGAACTCTCAAGTTTGAAAAGAGCCCATTTTTGCCTCTATCATGTCTGTGGTTCACATTTGAATTCCTTTAGAAGTGCTTCCACCTGTTGTTACCTGAGCTGTTGGCGGATCACCTGGGCAAGGCTCACAGCCTCCATTCTCCAGATGCGGAATCTGAGACCTGGGAGGGATTTGTCTGCCAACATGACCTGGGCTCCTCCCGCTGGGCCCTCTTCCTGCCTCTTGGGAGGAAAGAGCAAGGACTGGCTATTTGGGAACGCCCCCCATTGTAGGCACAAGGCACCTAGGCTGTCGAGACCCAGGGCTGCCAGTGATGGTGTCACCTGCCCTTTCTTCTGCAGTCGGCCTATGCCGTGTCACTGCTGCGGGAGTGCATGAAGCTTCGGCCCTCGGATCCCACCGTGCCCCTGATGGCTGTCAAGGTCTGCATCGGGTCCCTGCACTGGGTGAGTGAACTGTGGGGGCAGGGCCCAGGTCCCAGCGACTCCTGCAGAAGGGTGGCAGTGGGCATGAGATCGGGGCATGCACATCTTGCTGTGTGTATGGGGGGGGGTGCATGAGGAGCTGTGAGGCAGACAGGCCTGGAAGGAGAAATCTTGAGAAAACCAGCAGACGGATCTGCAACAGTAGGTCCCCCAACTCAGGCTGGTATCAGGTTTATGGTTCAGTCTTGAAATGTAGAGTCAAAAGTAGAGGGGGGGATGTGAGGGCGATCTGGCTGCGACATCTGTCACCCCATTGATCGCCAGGGTTGATTCGGCTGATCTGGCTGGCTAGGCGGGTGTCCCCTTCCTCCCTCACCGCTCCATGTGCGTCCCTCCCGAAGCTGCGCGCTCTGTCGAAGAGGACGACCTTCCCCGATAGAGGAGGACCGTTCTTCGGTCAAGGGTATACGAGTAGCTGCGCTCCCCTGCTAGAACCTCCAAAAGTAGAGGGGGGCCCCCAGCTGCCCAGGAGTGCAGTCGTGGGCAGGCCTCAGAGCCCCTGGGCCAGCCATCACTTGGCTGGAGGCTCCACACTCCTACAGGGGGCAGTGCTGTGTGCGCAGGCCCTGTGGGCCCCCTTGTTCCTTTCGGCTCCAGCCCCCAGGTCCCTGCCCTGTGCTCAGCTGCCTGCCGAGGGCCCTGCTGAGGCGGCTGAACGGTCAGGTACCCCCCCTCCCCACAGGCCGGGCTTTCCTGCAGCGGGGCTCCGAGGTCCTCCAGGAGGCCAGCAGCATGGAGCCGTGAAAGGCACTGGGCCTGCGGCCCTCCCCTCCCCAGGCTCCCTTGGTGGTTGCTCTGAGCCTGTGGCATCCTGGGGCGGAGCCTCTGCAAAGGTGTCTCCTCCCACTGGGAGCTTTCTTTCCAAGGGTCCCCGCATCCTTGAGCCCACATCAGCCTCCTGAGGTCCAATGCATCCTCTCCTGCCTCTTGGCCATCTGCCCCACCCACCTTTCCTCTCTTCGGGCAGAATACCTCCAGTGCCTTCCGCTGCCCTCCAGGCCCAGCGTCTGTCTCCCCACAGGGCGCTGCTCCCACACACAGGTCTCCCCTGCCTGTTCTCCCACCCCCTTCTGCAAGCCCACCCTCACCATGGTTGGGTGCCCAGCTTGTTCCTGGCCCCAGGGGCATAAGCAGGCGCTTCCGAATCAGCAGCCTGTCCACCTCCTGCCGCCACTCCCCCCTCCTTGGGCATCCAGCCTTGGGAAGGGAGACTCCGTGTTCTAAGCCTTCCTGCCAAGTGTCCCAGGGACTGGACACGAGGGCCCGACCCTCTCTGGGTCCCCGCTTCGCCGCGCCAGTGGGCCTTGTCCTCTCTTTGCTGCAGAGTGAGGAAGGGGAAGCATGGCGTCGGGCCCCAGGCTCTAGAGTGTGGCTTTATTTTGGGGGGAGGGGGCAATCTGGCAGAACCACCTCTTACAGGCTCCAGGCATTAGGAAGCGGCTGCACCGTGAGGTGGGTTAGAGTTTCCCTGCCCATCCCCGGGTGGTCTTGGTACACAAGCTTCCTGTGCTTCAGTTTCCTTATTCGTAAAACGGAGACAGTAACAGTCTGTTCCTCAGATGTGACGTAAAATGACAAAGTATGTAGAAGGCTGGATGGGTCGGGAGATGCACGGACCGTGGAGGGTTCAGGCCAGTGGTAGGTTCTTCCATCACGGCTTGCTTTCCCCACCCCGTGATTAGTGGGGAAACCCTTGCTCCCCATGTCTCTACAGGGGGCCTGTTGGCATCCTGCATCTTACCGGTGGGGAGCTGTGGGGACGTGGGTGGTAGGCGGGTACCAGCAGAGACACCCAGACTTGCAGTGCAGCAGAGGACTGGGGTGGGGTCCAGGGGACGCAGAGAGGGTGGGCTCGCCGACCCCTCGCTCACACTCCTTCATGTTCCCAGGGCTCCTCAGAGGGGCCTCACGAAGCCCCAGATACCCGCCTCACCGAGCTGCGGCAAGGGAGGGCCCCTGTCCTCCCCAACAGCTCTGAGGTGGCTATGGGTGTCCACCCCGCCAGCAGCCGCCCTTGCCGGGAAGCCTAAATTTAGGCCTTCCCGCCGTGGAGGAGCTGTTTCCCTCAGCGGCATAATTACAGTCATTACATGCATTCAGATTACATGGTAATAAAATTAGGATCCAATCAGTCCAAATTGAAATCAGATGAGTTAGGAGCAAAGTCATCAATGACAACATAAATAGAAAAGCCCAAAAGGAAGCTTAAACATGCAGACTTGTCACAGAATCAGGGAGGAGGGCAAGCTGTTTAACCTCAGCTGAGAAGCATGCATGGCTTTGGGGGCTGGTTTGAGCCAGGGTTTAAATTGGGTCCAGGCTCAAGCCAGGTCCCGCTGGAGGGACAGGGCATGGCTCCTGGCAGCCGTCCCTAACCTGGAACCCCTGGACCTCCCTAAAGCCCCGTTTATACCTGCCTTGGACACCTAGATTACATCATAATCCCCAGTGTCTCTTGAGGGCAGAAACTGTCTTCCTTGTTGAAACCCCAGCCCAGAGTTCCCGTACGGTGCTTATTGGATAGATCCTGCTGGCCAATGAGCATAACCACTCGGCAACAATTCTGCCTTAAATGGTACTTCTCTTCCCAACTAGTCGGGGAGCTTCTTTACTTACCATGCCTGCACCCTGAGCCTCTCTCCCGAGCAAAGAACCCTGCATGTGGTTAGATGTCCACTCATATCTTCTAGAATGACTCCCGCCCCAGCTGGCTGGGAGGGACGGGTGCGGGAAGTCTGCCTCTGGTTCAGTGATTCTCAGGTTCCCGAGTTGGCACTGGGCAGAGAGCAGACCGTGGGTAGCTAAGGGCAGCCTGTTCTCCAAGGAGGCCAGGAGAAGGCTGGCCCAGCCCTCTGTTCTGGGGCCACAAGCAGGAAGAATGAGTCTGACCTCAACGGTCAGAGGGGTGCTGGTGCTTGGGACAGAGCATGGTTCCTGAAAGGTGTCTGAGGCCACCTCTGTCTTTTGCCATTGCAGTTCTCCTGGCTCCCGGCAGCCCCAGCAGGCCTAGCCATTGCCCAGCCAAGCTCCATGAACAGGGGACAGAAATCTGGGGGTGGACAACTTGGCCCAGGTTGCAGGAAGGGAGGCTGAAACCGGGACATCTGAAAAACGAGCTGTGCTGGGTGAAACCAGCCAGGGTGGTCATGTGCCCAGAGGTGGAGCACCTGCTGTCCCCACATCCTGTCCCCATGCCCAGAGCCAGCGTGGGACACCCTAGGCTGAGCCTGGGTCTGAGAGGAAGGTGGCCCTTAGGTCGTGGTGCACCAGGCAGAGGGACCTACACAGTCCTACACAGTCACAGGCTGGCTGACACGGGTTTTGCCGCAAGGTGATTGCACCCGGGGCAGGCGTGGGGGCAGATGGGAGGGCACTGGCCCTGAGGCTTTGCCTGAGGCTCCCCTAGGTGGGGGGGGGGGGGCATCCCAGGCTCTGACCTGGGGACAGCAGTGCGTGGCAGCCTCCTGCCTTGGCACAGCCGATGTCTTGCCAAGGTCCCCAGCCAGTTATTTGGGGCAGGAAGAAAAGAGTTGTAAATATTTTTTTTAGTATCTCTCCAAACACAATTATTTAAAATGTATGTAATTTAAAAAGTTGAGGCTTCCCTAGGAGGATAGGAGGGGGGGGTGTGCATGTGTGCTGCGTGTCACACACGAGAGAGGAGTTAGGAAGTGGGAAAGCAGGCCATGCTCCTCTTCGGAAAGGTCTGTGGTGCTGCCTCTCGGCCTGTTCCCTGAGGGGGCAGGATGAAGTGGTGGAAACAGTGCAGGCCTTGGAGGCGGAGAGCATAGTGTTCAAATCCCTGCCCAGCCAGCTAGTAGCTGTGTGACTTTCGGGGAGTAATCCGCCCTCTCTGTGCCTCCTCTGTCCCCCGGAAGCAGTCACATCCACCCTGTACTCCGAACAGCAGAGCCGAGGAGCGTCGCTGCTTAGCACACTGCGGTACCCGACGAACAGCAGCCCCTTCGAAAGAGCGGGTTCTCCGAAGGGAGATGCTTTTGTGGTTTTACTTCCTTTTTCAGATCCAGGGGTGGCCAGAGCCAGGAAGAGGAGCTGAGCGTTTAGGAGGCAGGGAAGAAACAATGCCAGCCATTCCGCCACTGGATGTGGAAATAAGGAGATTTCGTCCTGTTCCTCTCAGGAAGGGAAAAGTACATTTTCAGTGGGGCGGTTAGCAACAGGTCCCGGGCCCCCAGGGAAGGGCTCGAGGGGAACCAGAGGTGCTCTTTCAACAAGCTCGGCAGGCTCAGCAGGGAACCTGCTCCGGTTCCCAGGAAGGGAGGAAGGGGCCGAAATGCCCGGTACAACCTCTTCGGCCCAGTGCCAGGCGGATGAGGCAACCTGGGAAGTGGAAGGCAGCCGAGCAAGAGCAACGTCCGCGAGCCGGAGGCCTGTCTGTGTGCGCACAAAGTAGGAGGCCCGGAGAGCCGTCGGGACTCGTGAAGTCCTGGGGACACGGCCCTTGCTTCTGGAAAGCCCAAGCAAAGGGTCCAAACGTTAGAGCCTTCCGTGCATCCTTTTCCCAAACGGTCAGAGAGGAAGAAAGTGAAGAACCGCAGAGGGCGGCCGTGACTCAGGCAGCTCAGAAAGATCCAGATGTAGGCTCAGGAGACCTGGGTTGGACGCTCAGTCCTGTCACTCACTCGCCAGGTGGCCTTGGACAGGCCCCCTAAGCTCCCTGCACCCCAGAACCCTCAGCTGTGTAACACCTGTGCCGTCAGGCCCTAAACTGCTCTAGAAGGGCAGGGCATGGGGTGGGGGGTCTCTACCTGGGGCTCATGGCCAAGTGACAGGGCTGCCGTAGGTAAGATACTAAAAAGCAGTATATCACCGGAAGGAACACGGTTGAAAAGAACTTAAAAAACCCGTCACCAGGGCGCCTGGGTGGCTCAGTCGTTAGGCGTCTGCCTTCGGCTCAGGTCATGATCCCAGAGTCCTGGGATCGAGCCCCATATCGGGCTCCCTGCTCCGCTGGAATCCTGCTTCTCCCTCTCCCACTCCCCCTGCTTGTGTTCCCTCTCTCACTGTCTCTCTCTCTGTCAAATAAATAAAATCTTTAAAAAATAAAAATAAATAAATAACCCGTCACCTTGGAGGTGTTTTGATGAGCAAGGAGGGCTCAGCACTGTAACCTGAGCTAATCTTGTAGAAACAGCAGCCCCAACCTCAGAGCCACCACCTGTTGACTTTCAAGGCCATCAGAGGAAGTGACTGGAGATTGGAAAGGCCAAGTGAGGTAGTCCCAGAGAGAAAGATGACGGGGGTGGCTGGAGACGGGTGGGCGCCGGGCAACTCAGTCAGCCACTGGATTAGAGCTGTCCTTTCACATTGGAAGTTGAGACCTGTTAGTGGGTTGTGAAGTAGAACTCTTTCTTTTTTCTCTTTAAAGATTTTATTTTTATTTATTTAGAGCGTGTGCGAGAAGGGGGGAGGGGCAAAGGGAGAGAGAGGATCTCAAGCAGGCTCCACGATGGGCACAGAGCCTGGCTGAGCACAGAGCCCAACTGGGGGCTCGATCTCAGGATCCTGAGTTGATGACCAGAGCTGAAATCAAGAGTCGGACACTTAACCAACTGAGCCACCCAGGCGCCCCTAGAATTCTTCCTTAAGAAAAAATTGAGGGGCGCCTGGGTGGCTCAGTCGTTAAGCGTCTGCCTTCGGCTCAGGTCATGTGGGATCAAGCCCCGCATCGGGCTCCCTGCTCCGTGGGAAGCCTGCTTCTCCCTCTCCCACTCCCCCTGCTTGTGTTCCCTCTCTCGCTGTGTCTCTCTCTGTCAAATAAATAAATAAAATCTTAAAAAAAAAAAAATTTGAAATAGGCTATCGGAGAATAGAACAGAAATATCCGAGTATGTTACCCACAGCGGGGGTGAGTACTGTGACAAAGAGTAGGTTAGTGGGTATATGTGTGTCCTGGACCATGGGTAGAGAGTCCGAGAGTCTGCACAGCTGGCACAGGGGACTGCACAGGGCTGATCCTTGTGTAGAGTCTCCTTTTCTGGAAGATTCAACCAATGACAGATAGAAATCAAATAACTAATCATAATGGCTTACATTTATTCAAACACTGCTCTGAGCATTCACTGTGTCTTATCTCATTCAGTCCTCCCAGCAACTGATGTCTGTCTGTGAGGCAGACACTTGTTGCACCATTTTACAGAAGAGGGAACTGAAGCACAGCAAAGCGAGGGGACTTGCCCAAGGTCACACAGTTAGTAAGTAGCCAAACCAGGATTTGCGCTCAGGGAGTCTGGCCCCAGTGCCTGTGTTCTTAGCCTCCAGGCTGCCCTGCTGTCTGCGTGGAGAGCTTATTCATAAGTGTGGAACTGATTCTGGACTTGGGTGGGCTTTTAGTACTTCAGAACAAAAATGACAAAGCCACATTCTCAAGGGCTTTAGGATTGCCACCTGTGTCTTAGATGAAGGGGAACGGTGCATTGTGTGTGTATGTATTTGTGTGTGTGTGTATATATAGTATATACAATATATACATGCACAAAGTTTTAAGATATATTTAAAATAAATGTAAATTTTGAGTTTGTTTTTGTTTTGGGTTTTTTCTTGTTTTTGATTTTGTTTTTTTGTTTTTGTTGTTTTTTTGGTTTTTTTGCTCTGATACCATTTTTTTTCCTTTCACTGGCCAGTTAGAGCACCCATGTATATTAATACCATACGTTATCATAGTGTATATTGTCATACTTACAAGAATTGATCATTTTTTTCCTTCATTATCCCTGCAGTGACTTCACATGCAAAAAGCCTGCTTTGTAGTAGGTAATAGAAACCAAAATAGTGTTGGCTATGTAGGAAAATGGTACATTCACGCTTTGTGTATGCGCTGCCGAAGTGAGCACGGTACATTCAAGCTTTATGAGTTTGATTTGAGACAGATGCTGACACTGTGCTTAAACTACATGGACAAGGCTGGCAAGTACTGGCCGAGGAAGGCTCTTGACCTGGGGGTCAGAGTGGGCCACAGGTTGGACAAGCTAAGGGTGTATGGTTGCACCTTTTTTTTTAAGATGTATTTATTTGAGAGAGAGAGTGCACAAGTGGGGGGGGAGGGGCAGCGGGAGAAAATCTTCATGAAGACTCCCGGCTGAGCATGGAGCCCAGTGTGGGGCTTGATCCTATAACCCTGAGATCATGACCTGAACCAAAACCAAGAGTCGGATGCTCAGCTGACTGAGCCACTCAGGGTGCCCCTGTTTTCACTTTTTAGAGAGAGGGAGAGAGGGGGGCGGGTAGGGGCAGAGGGAGAGGGAGGTTAGAGAATCCCAAGCAGGCCCCACACCCAGAACAGAACCCAATGTGGGGCTTGATTCCATGACCTGGAGATCATGACCTGAGCTGAAACCAAGAGTCGGACACTCAACCAACTGAGCCACCCAGGCGCCCCTATTTGCACTTTCAAAGCTAAAGTATGGTGAGCTCTACTAACCCAGAATATGATGTGTATGAACTGGAGAGTGACTTTTCCCTGTTTGCCAGTAACTGTTGAGCTTTATTCCCAGCACCTTCCCTACATGAGTTACAAGAGATAGAAGCTGGCGTTTGCTGAGTGGAAGGACATGGTCATGGGAAGACTGTATACACATGGATGCAATAGGTTTCTAGGTTCTATAACTTGTACTTGGTGGTTTATAAACCAGCCTGCTCCTGTTTGAATGGGGTGTAACGATGCCTAAAGACAGTGTATGAGATGAGCTGCATCAGCAATGGGATACTGGGTGGGGGAGGTGCAGTTTGCTCACTTAACCCTTTTCGTGGTGACTCCTGTCCCCCCTCTGCCATGAGTCTTAGTCTTCCTTGGACAACCACAGCCACATGATTGTCCTTCTCTTGGAGCTCCGCTAGCCCCATGCTAACATCACACAGTGGAGCCTTAATTAAGAGCCACCCTGTCGTATGGGGTCAGCCTGCGGGGATTACATTCGAACTCACCCGGGCATCCCCCTCCCTTGTCATCGGGGCTCCCCAGTTGGGCCCATCACAGAGCCTGCTGCTGCAGAAGCCTTGGTGGAGGTCTGTGCTGAGGAGCAGTTGGAGGGGGAGGGGTCCAAGTCTCCATTTTGCAGAAGAGGACCTTTGGGGCACAGAAACTAAGTGATTTGTTCCAGGCTCCACAGCTGTCAGGTGCTGGGTGAGGACCAGAGCCTGTGTCTGGGAGCTCATCTTTCAGTGCTTTTCTCTCCACCTGGCTCTGACTGTAGGCCCCCAGGCCCCCCCAACCACCCCCACTGCCCCAGGGCCCGCTGGGCCAGGTGCTGCAGGACACGGATCTTAGCCGCTACAGCCGTGGGCCCGCCTGGCCGGCCGAAGCTGGGCAGCAGGCAGCAGAGGGGTTTCCTGAGCTACGGCCTCCCCCAAACCTTGAGTCCTGGGGCCTGATGGTGTCAGAGCTTAGGTCCTTAGACTCCCTACTCCTCTCAGTGACCAGCCCCCCAACCCGGAGGTGGCCCGCTGCCCAGGCCAGCAGCCGGAGCACCGCCATGAGGGGGCTGGAGCACTGCCCTGGTCAGCATGCATCAGGCGGGCTTAGGCAGGGATGGAGGACAGGCCTCAGAGGGATTCAGCCCCCCCCCCCCCCCCCGCCCCCGCCATCTCTGTCTGGGCTGTCAGCTCACATGCTCTGCTTCCTTGTGTTTGGGTTCTATTGCTTCCCTTCCGGGCACAGTGGGATCTCCGCTCCTTGAGCCCTTTTCCTGCATGGAGCTTCCCCTGGCTGTGCACAGAGGGCAGGCTTACCCAACTCCCCTCCGCTGATGGTCTCTGTCTCAGGGTCTCAGCTCCGCATTCCAGGGATGGAGGGGCCACCGGCGCCCTGGCTGTGGCCAGTGGTCAGGCCACAAGATGCGCAGAGCTGCCCCTCTCCTGCCAGGATGGGGTGGCAAGGACAAGAGCGGGGCAGGAGCCACCCTGGCGTGAATGCCAGAAGCCGACTTGGGTCTGAATCTCACTCCCCGGTTGAATGTAGCTCCTTGATGGGCCTCTGCCGGGGGCAAGATGCCCCACACAGGGGGCCGTGACTGTGACGTCTGGGTGGCAGTGGGGCTTTCGGCCCCCTAGCTGTGGGGTGATGCCAGTCTTGGTTCTCGGTGGCACTGATGTCAGTACACAGGCACAGGGACGAACGACGTTCCTGGGCCCTTAGAGGCCTGTGGGCCGTGCGTGGGCGCGGCGGAGACCCCCCAGCTGTTTCCCGCCTCCCTGGCCAGCCTGACCGCTGTGGGTGCCCCAGACGGCTCGCGAGGACTGCCTTGTGCGTGCGCCTCTTCGTGTCACGTGACACGTGTGATGGCGTGTGCCCACGTGACCTGCATCGGTTGGTCCCTTTCCAACTGGAGCAGTTCTTCCTGCTCCCAGGACAAAAACAACCTCGGGCCTTTTTCCCCTGAGACGTATGAGCTCCCCGTGTCCGGGCGCGAGCTCACAGACAGAGCCAGAGTGGCAGCCCACCCATTCTGCAGGGTTGGCGGTGTCCCCAAGACCCAGGCCCAGGGCTCTGCCTGTCCCCTGGCCCTGGCTTCCCTCTCTCTGCTGCACAGGGCAGGCGCAGACAGAAGCCAGATGGTGAAAGGAGCTGTCACAGACTGGCCTGGCCCTGGGTCCCTGCTCGTGGCAGAGTAAGCTCTAGGGAGCTAGGCTGTCTCGGGAGAGGGAAGCTTTTCCCTGTGATGCTGAGCCCAGGCCCTTGGGTTGCAGGGAAGAGGTCCAGGGAGTCACTGACAGAGGAAACAGCCTGATTTCTTCCACTTAGTGGCGGTGTGTCTCAGACAAGCCACCTGGCCTCTGGTCACGCTGCCCACACATGAGGAATTGCAGTCCTGAGTGTCCCAGGCTGGTGACTGAGCGGCCTGCATGCCGAGGCCAGGAAAGCCCTCCCAGTGACCTGCGCCTCTCCTCTTTGCAGCTGGAGGAGGCAGAGCGCTTTGCCATGGTGGTGATCGACCTCGGGGAGGAAGCCGGGGAGTTCCTTGCCAAGGGCTACCTGGCACTGGGCCTCACATACAGCTTGCAGGCCACTGACGGTGAGTGCCAGGGTCTGGAGCCTCTGCTTGGGGGGCTTAGGCTTCCCGGTGGCCTCTCGGGTATCTCGTCCCACCAGTGCCCACCCCCCCTCGCCTGGCACATCTCCAGTGAGTACACACACTCACACACCCCTCAGTCCCATTTCCACTCTTTTACCCAGCCTTCATCACTCTCACACATGCCCTCTTCATGGACGCACCCTTCAAGGCCCAGCCCCAGCCCCTCAGCAGAGCTGATCCCCTCCTCTGGAATTCCTGTGTGCTCGCAGTCTGTAATATGCTGCCCGCCTGGGTCCCACAGTGTCTTTATCCTGTTTTGCTCTTACCCTCAGCACTGCTGTGTCCTTCTGGGGCCTTTTAAACTTCCCTTGACACATGGCACAGTGCTGGGTACACAGTTGGTTTAATTTATACTTGTACTTGGAGGCTGGATTCCACTCTTCCTGCCCTGAGCCTGGCATCCTTTCCCGAAGCCTGCCAGCTCAGCCGCGTGGCCCCCCAGCACTGAGGCAGCCCACCTACTTCTGTGTGCTTGCAGGCAGGGGAGCGATGGGGTCCCGTGCAGACTAAACCTGGAAGAGTAATCTGACCAGGGCTGGGCTGGGACCTGGGTGACAGTCATTTTAAAACTTACCAGGTGGTTCCGTGTGCAGCTAAGGCTTCAAATGCCTGCCCTTAAAATTTAACACTGAAAAATTGTAAAAATGGTTAAAAAAGAGGAGGCCTGTGGGTAAGTAAGCCCAAGGAGGCAGGCATCAGCCCATGGAGCCTCTCTCAAGGCTCAGGTAGCAAAGAAGGCAAAGGAATGGAAGGAGCTGGTGTGCCAAGACACATGCTGGGAAGCTGGGGCCAAGCAGACACCCCACACCCTCCCCCAGTGATGAGGGTGGTGGGCGGCAGTAGTCCAGAGCTGCTTGAGTGCAAGCATTTGCCAGATAGGGCCCTCATCGGGCCTCTCCCTGCAGAGCTTGTGTCCCCGGGATGGGGCAGGGCTGGGTCCGCAGCCCTTCAGCAAGCCCTCATGGCTCCGGCTCCGTCTTGTCTCCTGCAGCGACTCTGAAATCCAAGCAAGATGAGTTGCACCGGAAAGCGTTGCAGACCCTGGAGAGGTGAGGCGGGGCCCCGGCCCAGCAGAGGCACCGGGTGGCACATTCACGCGCTTTATCTTCCTGAACCCTCTGCTGGAGGCAGAATGAAGGTTTCTGGCCCCATTTTATTGACAGGAAACCAGGGCTCTGAGAGCTCCCGCGGGAAGCAGGGACAGGCCTTTGGGGTTGGGTGGGCAGGCTGAGCCTTCGGTGATGGTAGGGTGCCCCCAGGCTCAGCCCCTCCCCTCTGGAGCTCAGGACTCTAACGTGGGAATCAGAGCCCATGATTGTTGTGAGAATTCTGTGAGACAAAGCTAGAAAAGCACCTTGCATATGTGCCTTAAGTATAGCAGGGGCTCAAAATTGGTGTTTGCCTCCTGCCAGCCCCTCTCTGACTTGAGGCCTGTGAGGACCCCCCACACCAGTCCTCACAGAGATTTCCTGGCAGCCAGGGTCCTGGAGGGAAGGAGGGAAGGGATGCCAGAGAAGCCCCTCCCCTGTGGTGGCCCTCCCTCCCTCCCTCAGACCCATCCTTGCTAAGCCCCTGCCTCCTCCATAGCCTTGGGCCCCACCTGAGCATCCTTCCGCCCGCTCCTCTGGCCCAACGCAGGGCTCTGCCCTCTGAGCCCTGTGGGTCTTACTCCCCCCGAATACTGCTATGGAAGCTGCTGGCTTGGGGCCTGCCCTAGACTCCTTGTGCCATCTTTATGGGAACATATTAGCACATCCAACCCCTCTCTGGGGCAGGTTGTTCCTGAACCCAGGGAGGTAACAGAGTCCCATCCGGGCCAGTCCCCGCTGAGCTACCAAGAGCCAGCACTTCATTCCCAAGGCTTCTCTCCCAGAGAGGCCATTCCCAGTCCCTCAACCTGCAGGAGTGTTCCCTTCTGTCTTAGGGTGGGGAGGTCAGGCTCCAGGCTCTGTACAAGGCCACCACAGGGCCTCAGCCAGCTCTCCTGGAGCCTGCCGCCCACGGGCTGCTGCCACCGTCCTCCCCCGCCGGGCACCCTCTGAGAACCCCCGACATATCGCCCTGCAGCACCCAGCAGAGGGCTGGCAAGCTGGAGGCCCACGTCACACAGCAGGTGCTCAGTCCTTGCTCACTGACCTGTCACTCCCTCTCCCCATACAGAGCCCAGCAGCTGGCGCCCGGTGACCCCCAAGTCATCCTCTATGTCTCCCTGCAGCTGGCCCTCATCCGCCAGGTGGGTTGTCACATTTCCTAACTCCCAGGTCCCTGAGGGCTGTGGAGCTGCTCCTGCTTTGCTCAGCTACGTGACCCTTTGCAAGGGACTTGACCTCTCTGAGTCCCTGTTTTCTTGTCTGTTGAGTGAGCACCTTCGTACTGCACCTCCGAGGGACCCAGTAAGGATTGAGTCAGAAAATATGGTAAAGCCCATGGTGGGCACACAGGAAGGGATTATTCTCTGCCCTCAGGCCCCCTTGAAGAGTTCGGTCTCCTGAGAAGTTGCTGAGTGACCGCAGGAAGCATTTATGTCCTCACCTTCCACCAAGCTTTCCCCATGGGGCTCCTGACTTCCAGGTCCGGGGTGAGGCCCTTGGAACCTCTCCGCCACTCTCCCCAAAGAACATCACTCTGCTCTGGTGTTCCAAAGAACACAGGCGCAAATACCTGAGAGCACTTTATTTTTAGCCCTCTATAAAAGCATCGGTCCTTCTCTTGCCAATCAACTTCATGATAAACCTTCGGTGATACATTTTTTAAAATCTTGAATTATTCAGCCACCTCTGATGAATGGTGTCTGTCCTCCCAGAGAGATGGCGGGGCCAGGCCAGTGGAGCCTGGCACTCAGTTTCCTGGGGGACCCCAGATCTTGGGAGCCCCAGGGAGCTGAGGACCCTTGCATGGGCTCTCAGCTAGACCTGGCCCACCTGAGTCTGATAGCTGCCAGCCTATCCTGCTCAGAGCACGTGACAGCTGAGTAATGACAGCTGTGAGTTTGGATACTCGGCCCAGGATAATGGGCTTCACCCTGCAGAATCACGGGCAAGCTGAACCAGTGGCCACGGTAACCTGGCTTCCTTCCCTTTCCTTGAACTTTCCATAAAAGGAGGTTCCCGTGGGCGGAGTCCGGGCCTGGCACTAGGCCTCACCGCGTGCGCAGAGGCTGGGGGGAGAGCGGGCCAGGGACCGAAGGCCCCAGCTGGCCTGCACCATAGGCCCCCTCGGGGAGCACGGGCGGCCCCTGTCTGAGGTGTGGTAAGGAGCAAGACTTTCTAGAAAAGACTCCCGAGGTTCCTGGCAGGATAGGGCCCCCATGTGGAGAGAGTTGCAGGAGCCGAGGAAGTCTCCAGCCCCAAGGGCATGAGAGAACACAGCCCTCAGGATGAGAAGGGAGCGTCTTACTGCTCCACGGCTGCCTGGGCTCTGGGGGCTTGAGGAGGGACAGGCATGTCTCACACACGTGCAGGACTGTGCAGAACGTTCTCTTACGTCATCTTGCCCTCGCGGCCACTGGCACAGACAGGACCGTCCTCCTCATGTTGTAGCTAAGAACTGCAGCTCAGAGAGATCACCTGAAGGCTCCAGCTAGGGAGTGGCAGGTCTGGCATCCATGCCCCCACCTGACCCCAGAGCCGAAGCTCTGGCCACGGTGGGCCTCTGGGTCGGAAGAGGCGTTTGTGTGTCAGCCTCCATCCCTACATGCACAGGTGCGGAGGAGAGACCACCTCTAGGCCTGCACACAGGGACCTGGGTGGCCTCCATAGAGCCCCGCATCCACCCAGATCCTCTGTGCTGCACCATAAACCTGCTCCTCTTTACCCCCGAGCAGCAGCTGGCTGCCCGAGCCTGACTTGGGACAGCAGATCCCTCTCACCGTGGTACTTAGGGCTGTGTTTTCTCGTCAGAGCACCAGCCCCGCCCCCCAGGATCCTGGGGGGGAAGGTTGGGCCTTGGAGAAGGTCACTAAGCTGGCAGTCTTCTCGGGCAGATCTCCAGCGCCATGGAGCAGCTGCAGGAGGCCCTGAAAGTGTGCCGGGATGATGCCAACGCTCTCCACCTGCTGGCGCTCCTCTTCTCGGCCCAGAAGCATTACCAGCATGCCCTGGACGTGGTCAACATGGCCATCACGGAGTATCCTGAGAACTTCAAGTGAGTTTCCTGTGGACACGGCTGGGGGCTGGGGGCTGGGGGCTGGCCTGCTGCAGACGGGTGCCCTTGCACACCCCCACCCTGCCACACACTGATTAAGTGCCTACTGCATGCACACCCCCTGGCTGGAGGGGCAAGGTGGGGCAAGGCCCCGTGGGGTCAGAGAAGGGCTCTGGCGTTGAGTGCCAGGAGGTGCCGGCGGGGAGTGGCGAGCTCTGTGCAGCAGCTGCGGGCCCCACGGGGGCTACGTGGACCACAGAGGAGACTGTGTTCAAGTGCACATGCTCGAGCTGCTTCCACCCCGCCCTGGGCTCTGCATCTGAGCCACATGGGGACACTAACTTGTGTAACTTAATCGTAACCCTGGCACAGCCAGCCAAGGATGAGCTTCTAACGCTGGCTGGGCTGGCGGAGGCCAGGTGAGCCATCTCCCTTCCTCCAAGCAGGCCACGGGCATTGGGGGAAAGGGGTTCTCTCCTTCCAGAGCAGTCCTGGCCTCTCCCTCCATCCTCAGCAACTCCACATCCCCCCCACCAGGCCCCACTGCCTAGATGCCCCTCTCTTTAGAGCAGGGTTCACGCTGCATTTGGCCCAGGCCATGGTGGGTGTGGCAGGATGAGACTTTCCTGCCTCCACCTATTACATGGAGGACCCACTGCCACCCAACCAGGACACTGGGGAACAAGAGCTGTGCTGGGCCAGATGAGGCAGGAGGGTGCGTTGCTCTGCAGGAGGGAATGAGGAGGGTTGTCATCTTTGGATTTCTGCCCTCTTCCCCCAAGGTATGTGACACTGGGTATAATAGACCTTGTTTCTCTGATCCCTGTGAGCCCAGGATGAGGGGACCCTGAGCACCCCCATTCCCACCATATTCCCCCTTCGGGCCTGAAGAAGGGCTATTTAGAGCCAGCCAGGGGCTGTCTTGCTTCAGAGAGCAGAAAGAAGCATGGTGCTGGCTCCCTGGAGGGGGGCTCACAAAGCATCAGGGGAAATTGGTGGGCCCCACAGCCGTGTTAGGTGATAAAGGGAAGCTGCAATTATCCCAGCCCAAGGAGGTTCCTCCCTTCATGTGCAGAGCCTGGGCATCTGCCTCTGTCCGTCCCTAGCTCATCGGGGACAGAGCTGGCTTTCCTGTGCCGTTGGCTCCTTCAGAGGATGCCATGGGTAGCTTTGCCTGCAGACCTTACAGGATGACTTTGTCCTCACCAAGGCTAAGAAGGGTGTTTTGGGAGCAGCAGAGAGCCCTTATGATAAGCTTCCCAGTGTGCCCCACTGAAGAGCAGGCCCCAGTGAATAAAGCCAAGGGCGGCGTTCCCCCTGCAGGTCAGCCCTGCTTCACCTAGTCCACACTGAGCCTCTGCCCACAGCACCCTGACTCCTGACCCTTCCTGTCCTCTGCCGTCCTGTCTCAGGTGGGGCTCAGGTGCCCACAGCCAGGTGTAAGCAGAGCTGATGCATGGCCAACTCGACAGAGCCCATTTACATTCAGGAGATGGCCCCGACTCTTGGCCTCAGCCCTGCATTTGGGAGATTACTAAAATTGAAATCAGTTCCCTTGTAAAGGCATGTAGTTTAGGGAATACTAAAACATAAAATAGTGTGTGTGGACAAGAGATGAGTTCCCTTGTCTCATTAATCCCAAGCACAATACAGCAACACCTACTGTGTAGAAGTTTATTTATTTATTTATTTTTTTACTTCTAGTGAAAATATACACAGGACAAAGGTCCTCCTCTCCCAGTACCAGTTACCTCGCTTTTTCCCAAGCTCCACTCTCATGACTGTCAGGCAGAGTCTGACCCACTGCTGCCAGCCATGCGTGTGCACGTGTGTGTGGACGCACGTGTGTGTGTGGACGCACACGTGTGTGTGTGTGTTTACTCTATTGTCAGTTAGGCTTTGATGGAAACAAAAACTGTGCAGAGGAAAATCTTAGACTCCTAGAGTGGGGAGGGGTTCTGGCCCTGCCCCAGGTCAGAGTGTGTGTCCCAAGAAAGAGAGGCTGGGCCTGCCATCAGATGTTGTTTGACCAGCCAGTCCTTTTCCCAAGTGCAATGTCACCTGCCAGTGGAGACTATCTGGGAGCAGAGGGGAACAGAGCTGTCCTGATGGAAATGGGGCAGGGGATTCTCATGCTGCCCACCTGGCCCTTCCTCGGGCCCCCAGTCCCAGCAAGGAGCCTCCCATTCCAGCGTCTGGCATCTTGCTGCAGTGTCTCTTCCTAATTTTGGGCCGAATGCTTTCTGCTGGCAGAATCACGTCCCCTGGCCTGATGTGGGGAGGCTAACGGCACTTTTTCAAAGTCTGCTTGCAGCCCACAGCTTGTGGGGAAGGGAGGAGTGTTGGGTCTGGAGAGCAGCGCTCTGGCTCTCCCTCAACCCCCAGCCCACCTCAGGGGAGGTGCCTCCTGGGCTCCTGGGCTGGGTGAGGAAGCCCCCTTCTCCCCAGTCTTCCTCCCCCTTGTCGGTAGTGTGTGTGCCCTTCCCCTCAAGGGTGCTCCCTCCCTCCTGCCCCCACCTCACTCAGGGGCCGACTCCTTCACAAGGAGATGCTTCACTTGCTGAAAGTGTCTTCGTGGGGGGTGGGGAGAGGTGGTCCTTGCCAAGGTTGGTGACTCCCCCTCGTGAGGCCCATGGGTGGGCTTCTGGGCTTCCAAGAATGCCTAGACCTGAACCCTAAGAGTTGTGCCTATGTGCCTGGGTCCAGGGAGATGGCTTTCACCAGATGCTCTATGGAACCCTAAACCCAAAACAGGTGACAAGCCCCTCCCCAGTGCAGACTGTGTTCGTGGTCAATTTGTAGGATAACTGTGCCCCTCTGTGTCACCTGTGTCCCTATTTCTGCTAGCAGGAGCCTTCTGAAGGGGCAGGTTCTGCATGAGAACAGAGCTGCCCCATCCAGACACCACAAGGTCACTGCTAGGGCATCAGGAGCTCGGGCCATGGGGCTGGCAGCAGGGAGACCTCTCTGAGGTCCAAGCCCAAGGAGGGAAAGAGTTTGAGTCCCAGCCCTAGGGTTCTTCTGTTTTGTGTCACTGCAGAAAGGGGACCAGAGCATCCCATTCTCCGTAGTGCCTCACTCTGCAAAGTCTGCCCATGTGGGGACAGTAGGGATAGAGAAGCAGTGGCAGATTCTTTATCTCGAAGCCCCCGTGAGCCCCTCCCCTCCAGGGCCATGAGGACCCCTGTCCTGATTGAAGCCAGGCCTAAAAGGCTACAGAACTAACTAAAAAAAATAAGGGCGCGACTGGCCTCCTAAACTGTGAGACAATACATTTCTGCTATCTTTATTTTATTTTATTTTTTTTAAAGATTTTATTTATTTGACAGAGAGAGAGACAGCGAGAGAGGGAACACAAGCAGGGGGAGTGGGAGAGGGAGAAGCAGGCTTCCCGCTGAGCAGCAAGCCCGATGTGGGGCTTGATCCCAGGACCCTGGGATCATGACCTGAGCCGAAGGCAGACGCTTAATGACTGAGCCACCCAGGCGCCCCTTCTGCTATCTTTAAAAAAAAAAAAAAAAAAAAAAAATCAACCCTTAAAAACAATACATATATACAGGAGGTTGGGAGGGGGTGTGGAAAATCCACTGACCACAGCTCTGTCAGAGTGACCATAGAGCATGACCACGGCTCTTTGCGAATAAGGCACGACTGATTCCCCACAGATGGGACGGCAGAGTACAGAAACGTGTGGATTAGCAGGAAATGTCACTGAGCCCGTTACTGGCCAGGGATCACTGAAAAATGTCATTGCTCTTCTACGGAGACTGCGCCCTGCTTCTCTAGCTGCTCCCCGCGCCAGAACAAGCGGCGTGAGGCTCCAGCTGTTGCCACAGCAGATAGGTCACCAGCCGGGCCAGTAAACACCATGGCCGCAAAACAAAACAAAATCCATCTCCCTTCAGCCTGGCCTCCGTGTCCCCAGCGAGGTCTCCATGTGAGAGCCCGAGGTCTGTATGCCACCGGGAGCCCCCCCCCCTGCCCCGCCCTGGCCCTGAAGGCTGCTCTGAGGGGCTGAGGCTTTTCAGAGGCTCTTGTCGTGCGTTGGCTCCCAGCGGCTGTCTTAGTGAAGGAAGAGGCTGAAAGGCCAGTGTCGAGGGAGGAGGGGGTCTGGCACGGGGCCCGGGGGGGGCGGCCAGTGGGCGGAATGGAGCCCTTTCCATGTGAGCTTCTCCCCATGTGAGGGTCACAGTGGGGCTCCTGCCCTCCCGGTCGTGCTGTCTCTCACCTGTGCCACCTCCAGCAGCTTGCCCAAATGCCACACCCTGACATCTGCCCTACCTGCCTCTGCCTCCAAGGCCTGTGGCGAGACCCAGACAAAAGAAGGTCTGGCGGTGGGTTTAGAAGCGTGTTCGAGGGCAGCAGCGTGGAGGGGTCTGGAAGGCAGCGCACCAGCCGCGTGGGACCCGAGGGCGGGCTGCGTAGTGGGCGCAGAGCTGGGGGAGGGCGCCGTTCGTGCCAGGCCCGGGAGGCGCGGGCAGAGGCGGCAAGCCCCGTGACAGGTGTGGGAGCTCCTCAGCTGCACAGGAGGCCACCGTTCTGCCAGGCAGGCTGAACACTGCTGGAGAAAAACCCAGCCCTTGTGGAGCTGAATTTCTGAAAATCCCCCTGAATTCAGGGATTAGAAAGCAAAGCAAAGAGGATCTTGATTTGCGTGCTGCGGGATGACCTTTAGTTAACGGAGCTTGGGTTTAAAAGGCAGAAACGTGATGAGGCAGAGACCGACGGCCCCGCGGGGACAGTGTGAACTTGGCACGGGGGCAACCAGACACGTTGTGCAGCGTCCTGAGATCCTGAGGGCTTCCCACCAAGTCCTGGACACATGTGCTGGCCGGGCCGTCCCTGGCCGGCCTGCAGGGGGCCTCAGGGGGGCAGCAAACTCCCTATTTAGAGCCGGTGTCCAAGCCAGGCCCGGTGGGCCGGAATGTGCGTGGTCTCGTCCTGTGTGAGCTCCCGGCTGCCTGTGCTAGTCCTGGCCACAGAACGCGGCTGGGAGGCTC